GACTAAACTTTAAACAAATAACATTTCTGGAGGCCTAAAAGTTCTATTTTTAGAAACACCTCATAGCACATCAGTTCCTTTTCTCTCTCCTCTAAAGCTTAAGTGAATTAAAAAAAATTTAAAAAAGACAATTTACTTTTAGTGTAGCAACAGTGCAGCTAGCACTTAATCTCCAAATAACTTGATCAAAATATTCCCTTCTTATAAGTTTCCTATACTTGATTAGTCATATACATGTAGTGGGCTGACCCCAAAGTCTAGTGGTTAAAGGAGCCAGAACCCACATGGCGACCACAATTCCAGCCTTGGCCAAGGAGATTTGAAAAGCCCTCTTGGCACACGTGCAAGCATGTTCAAAGATTTCAAGAGAATGAACAAGAGATAAAGAGGGTGCTTCTTCCCTCTTTCTTTCTTTCTGTTTCTTTATCTCTCTCTGGTGAGCACAACCCTTGACAATTAAAAAATAGATAGAAAGACAGAGCTGTATTATATGCACAAGTGCATTCATTTGCTTTTGAACAACTAACTAGGTTTATACTCTATTAAGCAATGAGATTAGGGTGGGAAGTTGTACTTGTAAATACCATGGTAGCAGGTATCTTGTTAATCTTATTCACTACACTATATTCAGCACCAAGGAAATAGTAAGCGCACGGTAGGTATTTTATCAGAATATTTTATTTAATTAAGTGGGCCCTGGTTATGTCATTGGACTCCCATATAGTCAACTGCAGTTCGAATCCTTGACCAAACAGCTTAAAACTCACGCCAGGTGCATGTGCGTACATGCCCAAAATCACAAGAGGAAAATGGAGGAGAAGGGATTGTAGAGTGGCCACCCCGACCCTCAGGAGATGATTTCTCACTTTTTGTCTCTTTGGCTCTCTCTGACTTTCTGGCAAGTGCACCTGCCTGATAGCAAAAATCTCTCTTAAAAAAAAAAAAAAAGAATAAATGATGTCCTGCCAAAAAAGGATATCTAGGATATCTATAAATAACATTAAGAAGAGACTAAGAGGAGAAATGCTGAACATATATGGAACATGCATGTAACCATACTCAACATCTAGATCATAACCTTTTTTTTTTTTTTTTTGGAGAGATTTTCGCTATAGGACGCGTGCGCTCGCCAGACAGACAGAGAGAGACATAGAGACAGAAAGCGAGAAATCACCCCCCAGGGGGGATGGTCACGCCGCAATCCCTTCTCCTCCATTCTCCTCTCGGGATCTTGGGCACGCACGCACACGCGCCCGGCGTGAGTTCTAAGCCACCGGGTCCGGGATGTGAACCACGGACAACTACGTGGGAGTCCAGTGACATAGCCATTACGCTAACTGCTCGTTCCCTAGATCATAACCTTTTATACTACATTTTAAAGGTGGCTGTTGACTTCTATCCTAATAGCAAGGCCAGCGTCGAAGAAACTTTCCTGACTGCAAACTGATTTGCAAGGACTCATCTAGAACTTATTCTGCAATAAATGTTTTAAAGACTTAAGGCATGTTGGACAAAGAAATTGTATTCACTATATAGTAGGAAAACAATTATATTTGGAAGAAATGAGAAGGTATAAGCACTTGGGCGTTGATTTCTTAATGTAACAAGGAGCAAAGTTTTGGGAGGCTATCCACTAAGACACTTTGAATTCTTGTTTCTAACTTTTTAAACTTAGTCTATTATAATAAACATGAATATAAAATGATCTCAAGTAATATTAAGATAACACATAGGAAATTGAATAAACTGGCACTGTAAAAATTGTCTGCTTTTTTAAAATTGCATTTTTAATGTTGAAGGTTGGAGTACCCTGCTGGGCATATTATCTCTTTTTTCTCTTTCGTGCTCATGGAAAAAATAAATAAGCAAAAACATTTTTTTTTTTTTGGAGAGGTTTTTGCTATAGGGCGCGTGTGTTCGCCAGACAGACAGAGAGAGACATAGAGATAGAAAGCAAGAAATCACCCCCCAGGGGGGATGGTCACACCGCAATCCCTTCTCCTCCATTCTCCTCTCGGGATCTTGGGCACGCACGCACACGCGCCCGGCGTGAGATTTAAGCCACCGGGTCCGAGACGCGAACCGCAGTCGACTACGTGGGAGTCCGGCGACATAGCCATTACGCTAACTGCTGGTTCCCAGCAAAAAAGGTCTACTAGGGACCAGCAGTTAGCGTAATGGCTATGTCGCCAACTCCCATGTAGTCAACCACAGTTCATGTCCCAGACTCGGTGGCTTAAACTCACTCCAGGCATGTGTACATGTGTGCCCAAGATCCCGAGAGGAGAATGGAGGAGAAGGGATTGTGGCGTGGCCATCCCCCCCGGGGGGTGATTTCTCGCTTTGTATCTCTCTGTCTTTCTAGTGAGCATATGCACTCTATAGCAAAAGCCTCTCAAAAAAAACAAAAACAAAAACAAAAACAAAAACAAAAAACAAAGAAGAAGAGGGAAGAAGATCTACTAAAATAAATAAGTACACATGATTATTTTGTATTAAGTGATTTGCCTAAAAAGTGAAGCGAAACTACCAGATAAGAAAGAAGGCTTTACTTATTTAATTCTCAGGCATAGGACAAGGCTGTGAAAAAGTAAATCACAGAAATAAAATAATTTTCCATAATGGGTGTAAAATATTTTATTTTGCATTAAAAGTTCTACTAAAGGGGGTTGGATGGTGGCATGGCAGTAAAGCACAATGCTAAGCAAGGCTGATTCACATGGGAATGTTCAGGATTTGCATCCAGAGACGTCCCTGGTGCACCAGACATGTGCTTGCCCCTGATCTGGAGCAGGCTGAACCTGGGGCTGGATTGTAGTGTCAAGATCTTGCTGGGAATTCTCTCCCTGTCTCTCTGTGACACACTCACAGAAAAATAAATAAAAACTTTAAAATTTTTTATTAAAAAAGGTAAGGATACATTTTAAGGAAGAAAATAGATGAAATTGTAGGACATATTCTCAAAGAAAGTAAAGTACTAGATACATCTTGGTACTCTTTCTTGTTAATGAATAATGGCTATCAAACTGTTCTAATCCTAATCTTTCAGTTTACCAAGATTAGATTGTTCCTTTTCAACCTTCAACCTAGTCCAACTCTCTTAGGTCCTCCTCCAAAATTTACATTAATTTACCCTATATATATACACACACACAAAATATATATATATATATGTATATGTATACATATATATTATAAATATATATACAGATTTTCAATGGATTAGTATCTTAAAATAGTGGATTCTTTCAGGAATTATTTAGAGATTCATCTTAGCTACAGGGGTATGTGTTGCTACTACGCTGTGCTCCTGCAGGCTGGGCCATGTGAGAGACCCATGTCAGGTTCCTGGTCTAACCTAGCCCTAGCCCTAGCTGAGAGGCTAAGGCAGGAGGATTGTGACTTAGTGAGCTCCCTATCTTAAAAAAAAGAAAGAAAGATGAGAGAGGTTTTAATATTTATCATGAATGTATTAAGAGAATAAATCAGTATATGTGATATTATTTGAAAAGCCCTCTACCTTGCCAGAGTTCCGAAGTTAAGAATTGCAATCCGGGTTATTTTTTAAATATATAAGTTCAATCAGCTTCTTGTGTGGTGTCACCCTCCATTTCTAGGTTAAGCCTCCTCTCTGCAGTAACCTCTTGTACCTTTGTAACTTCGTAAGAGAAGGGTGCAAAGGGAAATGTATAATTTCAGTCCTCCAGCATTATTTAATATGCTTTCATCAGCAGCACTGAAAACGAATATAATTTTCAATTGTTCTAGTCTTTTCTACCAGGAACTTAGTGTTGGAAAAAACTAATATTAAATTTTTAAAAAGAAACAAAGAGAATGTTCATAATTTTTTTCTTACATATTTTGGTAATGAAAAGTGACCCTATTTATTTATTTATTTAAAGTTTCTTTCTTTTCTTTTCTTTATCTTTTTCTTTTTTTGAGAAGTTTTTGCTATAGGGCACCTGTGCTTGCCAGAAAGACAGAGACAGAAAGTGAGAAATAACCCCCCGGGGGGATGGCTACACCACAACTCCTTCTCCTCCATTCTCCTCTCCAGATCTTGCACATGCACACACGTGCCCAGCATGAGTTTAAGCCACCGGGTCCAGTTTAAGCCACCGACTCAAACTGTGGTCAACTAGATGGGAGTCCAGCGACATAGCCATCACACCAACTGCTGGTCCCAAAATTTATTTATTTATTGAGAGAGAAAAAAAGACACCATTGACTGAGTCTCATCACACTGAAATCTCCTTCCCCTAGGCCTCAAGTTCAAGATCTTGGACACACACAAGCCTAGAGTGTTCCATGTCAACTCAGGACCCAAACCTGGGGTGAACCACATGGATTCCAGCACTCTGGTGTAGCACACTGGGTCAGGGCCCAAATTTATTTTTGGTTCTTCCAACTTTCTCCCATTAAATAAGCATTCTTCTGATTGAACCGCCTTTGCTTGAGCAATCTATAATTACTTGTGTTGCCTCAAAGTCTCTACACAGTCCTCAATTTCAACAGCGGTATACCACAGCAACAAACTACCTACATCTACTTTCTTTCTACCCTTGCATATAATCTTTCTTTTGTTTCTGCTACTTCTTTTCAAAGTTTTTTAGTGACATTTCCTATGGCTTATAAGGTTGAGCAAAATAATTCAACATTTCCTAAGCAAGAAAAAAATCTTACTAAGTTACAATTTTAAAAAGAAACTACATTAACAGCTCAAACTAACAGAACGGTTAAAGGAGCTCATCTCTATTTTTGCAAATTGAGACCACTGGTTTTGTCTTCCAGCCACTTCACATTCAAATGCATGATAACATGAGAAACCATAAGTTGAGGAGAAATATGCTCACCTTTCTCATTTTTCAAAAATAGATTTTTGTGTGCATATTGCTGTTCAATATCTTTTGCACAGTGAAGTGAATTCATTGTTAGTTTTTTGGCTTAAATCCTGTATTCATGATGTCAGTGTAAGCCTTTTTTTCCATATAACCCTCCAGGGTTTGATGAAAAATAGATTCCTAAACATGCCAAACCTGCCAAACAGGAATAAAAGCTTCCAGTAGAAACATCATGTTCCCTTGAAATGAAAGTGTTTTAGCTTGTGTGAGCATATTTGACTCGAAAAGAAATGAAATCATGTTTCATCTCAGGAAGATGTATGCTTCAGGTAAGAGATTAAAGCAAATAAACTTTCTGTACTTAACTAAATACATAGAAGGGTAAATGGTAAATGAATTTAAAATCTGAGTAAGTGTGTGCCATATTTTCAAATAGAGGTATCTGGCTCATAAATATTCTCTAGCGTTTACAACCTGAAGATCCATCTTTCCTAAAGAACTGGTGATTCTCTCTTCCCTCTCCCCTCATATGTCCTTTCTTTTTCTCTCAATCTGGCTGATCCCATATATCGCATTGTTATGTTTATATCATCTCCTAACTATGCACTTTCACACGGGTCAGTCTTGAGCTACTCTCATGACTGCTGGTAGATTTTTCTTTGTGTATTATCTTGTTGTGTCTTGAAGCTGGTACCTCTAGTCCATAGACTTTCATCCCCATCATGTTTCCAAGAGGAAATCCTTGTTAAACGGGAGATGCATATTCCTAACATAGGATCTTCAAACTGGTAACAACTTGTGTTAGAGAGCAGTGGCTTTTCTATTAACGTTTATGTTTCATGGCTCTGTGCTGGGCTCCAGCTCTGTCCTGTCTGCCTGCCCCTGTGTTGCCAGCTCACCAAAAACCAATGGGCACCTAGAGTGTGTCCCAATTGTCCCCTTACTTTCTTACCTGGCGAACAATTGTATTTCTGATGCTTAGGGTTGGAGATTGAAACAAGATACATGTCACCCTTTGAAACTAAACATAGTATGTAACTTGCAGCGGGCATTAATCATTTTTAAATGCCTTATTCAATGTAATATTGTGTATTGGGTTAACAGACTCAGAGGTAAAAGAATGCATGCCACCCACGTCATAGAGAAAGTCATTAAGCGCTCTGACTTGAATCAAAATTTCTTATTCCAACTCAAGGGCTCTTTCCATAACCTGTTACCCATTCTCCACGCCAGTCTATCTGCTTTTCGGGCCAGTAAAGAGCAAGTTTATGAACTGAGCAAAAGATAATGGTACTATGATTGAGCCAAGGAGAAAACGAGACGACGTCATCTGGCTCCTATAGAAAAGGGCCACATTAAGTAGATAAGTAATTGAATAAACAAGTTTATTTTGCCACTGTGAGCCCCCCAGCCACAATTTCACAGTTTTTTTTCTGTCAGAGCTGGGATTGTTTGGGATTGTTTTCTTCCATGTGAGGAAGCCCTCTTTAGGTAAGCAACAAATAGTATAATTCTCTTGGAGTTTAGGAAAAAAAAAAAAAAGACAATCAAATAGTCATTTCCTAGCTAGAAAAATATTGCACCATATTTGAAATGAAATTATTACTACTTTTTTTCCAACTTTATGATCTAATGAAATGGCACACAGATAATCATTGCAAAAAGTGAATCATTATAATTATTTAGGCATAAATATACTTTCACTGTATATTTTAGCTCTTAAGCAATAGTATTTTTATGATATAATTTATCCATTTTGTTATTTTTTTTCTGTTGGCTGGAATGTTTTCAAGAATTATTTTCAGGTACAAAATCAGGATGATGTTTAATATTTGAATTTACACCAAACTATACTTTTCTTAGCAACTTTATTTTGTATTTCTAAAATTTTCCCAATTTTATTGTGACCTTTTACTTTGGGAGTCATTTAGAAATGTTTTGGCAGTTTAAAAAATGAGTTCTGTAAATTATCTTTTTTATTCTGACTTTTATTCTGCAGTCGACTATGACTGTGACTTTGAACTATAATAAGAGTAGCCAAAACTGTCTTCAGTTTTTATAAGTAATAATTGTCCTTGCAAAAAAATGTTATTTTCAGTCACTGCATGCTGTATTCTATGTATGTTCATTACATCAAGACTGTTCATTATATTTTTCAAAGCTTCCATATGGATAATGATATTTTTGTCTGAATCAATCGATAAATGATGTGAGATTCCTATTAAATCACCTGATTCTGAAGGGGGATTTATCAGTTTCTCCTTGGAAAGTGTTGCTGTTTAAATTTTGAAGGAATTATGTTTAAGTACTTACCTGAAACATTCACCTGGTGAATTGAATTGAAGACCTCTATGAAGTGTTTCTTTCAACCTGTACTTTTTGTTTGTTTTGCCTGTAGGCCTATCTTGTCTGTCTGTAGCATAAGTACACCAGCTTCTTATTGTTGTTGCTATTGTAACTAATTACTTGTAGTATCTTTTTCTGTCCTTTCCGCTTTAAGCAGTCTTTATTCTTTTGTTTGTGATGTCTGTAAGGAACCTGTTATCTTTTTTCTAATGCAATATAATAACCTATAGATTTTGTATGATACACCCAGACTATATTTATGTGTTTCTGATATGAACTTTTTATTTTTTTCATCTTTGAGAAGGTTCCTATTTATACTTCAGTCTGCAGAAGACAAGGCAAGGCTTTCTTTTCAGCTGATTGAGATCAGTGCCAACTTTTTTTCCTGTTTCTGCTAATTACAGTGTAAATGTCAAAACTGGATTCCTTTTTTGCCATCTTCAAAGTTATCTCTTTCTGTTTTGTCTGATTTATTTTTAGGACTGAAATAATATGGTGATGGATCTTTCTCTATTAAGAATCATATTACTTTTTCATTTCTGCAATTGCTCCTGTCCCTCTGTCATCACAGAATGTTTCCCAATTTTTCCCCCCAAATTTAGTTTCCTGGTGTGTCAATTTTGCTTCTAATGACTATTATACATGTGCAACGATATTTTCTGTTTCTTCACATCTCAATCTCTTTAAGCTGCATTTTTATTGGCATCTCCCCTCATCTAGTTCCTCTGTATCTTTGTTTTTTTCATTTTATTAGTATATATTATTTTATTTATATCTTATTTACTAGATCTCTTAATTTTATAACTTATAGTTAAGGTTTTATAACATTTACTTAGGTCTAGACAGTATATATTATTCAGAAGTAATGTCTTTTTCCGTGTCCTCATAATCAAACACTCTTTATTTTTTGCAGAATAGTTTCACATCTATTTTGATATTTGTTCCCCAATTACATGTCTGTTGTGAGTGAAAGTTTTCTGCATTCATTACTTATAAATAATACCGTCGGCTTATCCTGGTTCATCTCATTGTTTAATGTGTTGCTGTTAAGACACATTTGTCACATTTTCTGCTGGAGGGACAGTGAAGGTGAACAGACATCATCTAATTTCTGGTCACTAGCAGTCATTTAATTTCTTGCAGTTCTGGATGGCATCAATATTACCTTTGTTGTCTAGGTTTCCACTTTGAGAAGAGAAACATATTTTAGGTAATCCTTGCTAATGTGCATATTTTCTTTTTTATCAGAAGCAGTCTGATTTTATACTTCCTCATGACACTTTTTCTCACAATCCAAACACTTATCTCTCATTCCCACATGGAAGCAAAATGCATGGCTACTGTAAACTGGACATTTTGAATTAATGCACATTTTGTTCTTAGAAAGTATGTAGAAAAGGGGGTGATTTAGTGGCCCTGCCTGCTACTGAAAGGTGCTGCAGTGCAGCAGAGGAGCAGGCATCCTTTCCAGGGTGGTAAGGGAAATAGATTAGACCCTAGATCTCCCAATCAGGCAGTAGCAGGAACATGAGTCATCTGTTACCTTGTTTCAGGGTGGCAGATTTATTCTCCTTCAGATAAAGCAAGTGCCAGTCAAAGAAACAGCCATGTGTTTTTTTTCTTCCATTTCTGCTTGATCTGTTTTGACTTAGCTATGGAGAAATCTGGTCAACCCAATGGCTGTCCGACTGTGCCTGGTAATATACACAATGAATTGATTTTGTTCATTATTTTTTAATTATTTGGTTAATTTTTTGAGTTACATATTACTGACCAGGGGCAAACTTTTAAAAAAGTCAACTGGATTGATCTTGAAAACCTTGATGATTATTATTATTCTAAGATTAAGGAAATAAACTCATTTATGAAACACAGAGTAATGGCATCATGTCCCCTAAGTTTTGCTCAGCCACACAGTTCTCAAACCACCATCTCAGAAGCCACCACCATGACTGAGATTTCATTTATGTGATACAACTATTTACTACTTTGGTTTTGGATTCTATTAGACTTTCCAAATAATTGTTGAATAATTCATTTCTGGTACTTACTTGATTGCAAATATTCACAATAATGGCACTCACCAGAGAGACAGAAAGAGACAGAGAAAAAGAAAGTGAGAAATCACCTCCCCGGGAAGATGGCCACACTGCAATCCCTTCTCCTCCATTCTCCTCTCAGAATTTTGTGCATGCATGCACATATGCCCAGCGTGAATTTCAAGACTCCAGGTCCAAGACTTGAACTGCTGTCAGCCATATGGGAATTCAGTGATGTAACCATTATGCCATCTGCTGGTCTGAAGGGCAATCTTTTTTAGTATTTTAAAACAAAGTTTAATCGAGATGGAAATCAGAATGACAATATGAGGGGCCTTTGAAAAGTTTATGGAAAATGGATATTGTATATATGTATTTTAAAAGCTATAAATGAATTTCAAATTTTGTTTGCACTAAAGTAAACTCATACTTTAGTTCATTTTTCTATGGCCTTTTGGAAGTACTCATATACACATCCTTTTATATCTAGTTAAAAATTCATAGACTCAAATAAAAAAGCAAAATAGATTTAAAAATTATGTATTAGAGGATACAATCAAATGGCAATTATTAAATGATGAGTGTCTACACTTTGTTAGACATTGGCAAGTTATAATTATACAGTACTTACTAACTCTCATGAAATGTAGTTATTAGTATTGCTCTATTTATTAATAGTGAATTTGAGTTTTAGAAATGTTAATTTACTCAAAATCACATGGTTATTAATGAAGGGTGAAGATGAGACTCTCCTGAGCCCAGTCTTTTTTTCCATTAACTGCATTACCTTAGAGTAGATAGTGCTGAAATGTTACCTTAGTTTCATAGAATGATATTGAGCCTTGGGAATAACATTAAATATGGCCCAAGAACTATTCATGCTCTCCAAGTAAAATATGAAAGAATTTAGTTCCTGGGTCAGGTAAAACTGTTAGATTAGTCTA